TACAATGACTTTATAGGAAATGGTTTTTCCACTAAATAGCCATTAAAAAAACATATTTCCCGCCCCCGCATCTGCAGCATTCCTCATGCTATTGTAGATACATAAAAATCAGAAAATTTTTCTAAAATTATTATGTAAATAAATTCCGATATTTTGACTATTGATACTGGACAGAAGGCGTTCAATTCGGGAGCCAAATAGAGAAAATTTTCAAAATTAAAATAGCTTCAGTGTTTCAAACTCCACCGTTCCAATTTTGTTGCTAACTCATCGACGCTGATTTGACGTACTTATCGCATTTTTACCAGCGCCATTTGACGGTATTGTGAGTATGGTATTTTCTCTTTGAGCGGTCACACTTAATGCTTCTTAATACGAGACATATGATCGTATGCGTAGATCAGTCCACTCAGACTCACAGCCTTTGAAGGAACCCGCACAGTTCGATCCCTGCAAGGGACCTCGTGGTGTGGAATAACTCTTTTAGGTTAAATAAAATTCAAACACATACCAACCATCTCTTTCATTGCTGAAATCTAAGAAAAAAAATATATATGCGTAGATCATAACGGCACAATTGCACAAATAAATCCGAACTTTAAAAATCCACCATAAATTCAATTTTCGGTGAATTTGGGCTTGTTTTATTCGGAAGGATGTAAATTTAAATTGGCACTCATAATGATTTTTCAACATATTTTTTTTCGAGTTTTTACTATATATCAGCCAACTTACGTCGACCATAAACTCATTTCTCATCTTTTTCGAGCTGCTGCGCTTCCAATCATATTGATCTGTATGGCAAAATTAAGCTTTGATCTACTTTAAAATGAAGGGAAAACTGAACCAAAATCGCCGAAATTGTGATTACGTAATGTATGACAGCAGCATAAAACGGAATGTCCGGCAACATTTCTCGGCTATTATGAACCCTTTAATTAGTTTATTATAATAGCTTCTGCACACAGCTGCTTTAAAGGTGTACCTTTTTATATAAAAATGTATGTGCCGCTTAAGGAAAACCAGCTCCTGCCGGTACCTATACTCCCAGCAGGTTTTGAGGAAGACCCCATACTCCTTCCTCAGCAGGGCCCACCGTTTTCGGCAGGAGCTTTCTGTGGATATAAAACTGTGGCTGTCTAAATCGAAATATAAAATGCCTATAAAATAAACCCACCGGTTCTTTCGACCGTCTTTGCCACTTTCACACATGCCTGTACCCTTCCTGCTTTGGTGTACCCGCTATTTTGGTACAGGCATGGGTGGGCTTTAACTTCGGCGATTAAGTCCATATCCTCTTCGTTTCTGAAAACGGGAATAAAACCCATGCCTGCCACAATGGCGATAAGAGCCAGATCCTCTGCGTTTCTGAAAACAGAAATAAAACCCATGCCTGTGCCCTTCCGGCTTTTGTGGAGCCACAACTTTGGTACAGGCACGGGTGGCTTGCCACAACGGCCATGATCCTCTGCGTTTTTGGAGAAAGGAATAAAACCAAATATTTTATATCGATCAAGTAAGATAGCTCATCGACCCGCCTCCGTCACCTTATTTATTGCTTACCGCATGTAGTCCTTTAGGAAATGTAGTTCCTTGCGGTACCGGTACTCCCTGTTGCTTTTGAGGAAGGCCACATACTCCTTCCTCTGCAGGGCCCACCGTTTTTGGCACAAACTTTTTGTGGATATAAAATTATGGCTGTCTAAATCGAAATATAAAATACCAAGAAAATATACTTACCGGTTCTTTTCAGCGCCCTTGCCACTTCCACCCATGCCTGTACCCTTCCTGCTTTGGTGTACCCGCTATTTTGGTACAGGCATGGGTGGGCTTTAACCTCGGCGATTAGATCCATATCCTCTTCGCTTCTGGAAATATAAGTAAAAGCAAATATTTAAAAGCATAGCTCGCAAATAACTGTTGACAGTCCCCAAACAACTGTTTTTCTCAGACTTTATGCAATAAATCAGAGAGCAACCGATTGAATTGTTCGTACAAACATTTTACTCGCACTCAGCCGACGAACAGTTTTTCGGTGTTCGTTTGCTCGGCTCGCTTACTGACCCTGCAGTTCCATTCATCACCTTTTTGGCAATGAATTCCAAAAATTGAACACCAAGCGCTCAGTCACTAGCAAATTTCTATGAAAAATAGCGATGATTTTAACATGCCCTCAGAAAAAAAAATGTCCTTAATTTAAGTCCATTGACCTTGATTTAAGGAATAATGGCTTTAAAATGGCTAAATAGGGCTATACATGGACTTAAAAGTTTTCATCCCATATATATTTTTAGTCCATGTAGACTTAAAATGTTTTTACACGTTTTGGCAAACAACGAATTGAGAAGGAGACAGTTGTTAAACACAAGCCGCAATAGAAGGCACTTAAGGAACAATTCTGATATTTTTAACATTTCAGATCGACAGTAAGCTAGCATTAATTAAAAATTGCAAGTATCGAAAGCTAAAAATGTAAGATTTTCAGATTTATACAATCTTACCGGGTCGACAAGGAATTGTTGACAATTCTTGTAGACGAAGTTGGACCCTACAACACCCCTTAATTTCCCATATTACCCAGGTTGCGGCCGTTTTTCGGTGCCTAGCAATCGGGTCGTATGAACTGGGGGTGGCGAAGGATGACGATGTCAGTATTGGAAGGAGCACATTTTCCAAAATTTTGCACAAAGTGGTGGGAGCGTTGGACTGCGTGTGGCCTGAAAACATTTCCACCCAACAAACGCCGGTTAAGATAGATCAATCGGAGGACTACTTCTTTAAAAAATTTTCATTTCCAAATGTAATTGAGTGTGTGGATGGAACTCACGTTTAAAATTATAAAACCAGTTAAAGACCCATAATTATAATTGAATCGTAACGGCTACTTCAGCATAAATGCAATGGTGGTAAGTTTGTATGAAGACATGGCTAGTTCATTGTCTAGCGATTCGGATTTCGTTTTAAATATGCAACTATAATTTGCTACACATTTAAATTTAATGCTACACATCCAGGATCATGTCATGATTCCTTTATTTGGAACAACAGTAGAACAAGAGAATTTTTCTCTACAACCAGTAGTTTCTTTGTATTAGCCTAATCGTAGTCCGCAAAAAGAAAGTATGCAGCATGTACAAATGTATACAATTTAAAGCACGCAGCAGCTCGGAATATTGTTAGAGAGGACTATTGGTCTGCTAAAAAGTAGATTCAGATGCCTTTAAGGAACATTACATTATGATCCACAATTTGTGTGCAAAATTATCATTGTTTGCTGTTTATTACACAATCTTTGCCGACGACGGAATGGGTATATGACAGAGTTTGAAGAGGATAATGACGAATCTCCCAACCAGAACGAGGAGGAGTCTATCCGTCAAGAGAGTTTGGGGAATGCTGCTGAAATTCGGGACGGAATTTCTGCAAGCTTTTTGTAATCTAATATGTCTAAGTATCTATTAAATAACGGTTATCAGTTTGTTAGATTTTGTTGTGCGAAAGTAATCCCCGGCATCTCAGCGAACGGAAAAAAAAACCGTCCAAATATCCAGCGCACCGCTAAATTCTAGCTGGCTTGGCGCTAAAAAAAAATTAAAATCATCGGTTGGGAAGACCGAAGAAAGACGAAGTCTTGCAACAACAAGAAATCTCCAAATCGCCGCCCCAACTTGAGTTTTTTCTGGACTCGCGCCGGGGAGAGGGTGACCAAAAAACGCTAAACTTTCGTCGGGAGCAGAGAAAATTGAAGTTTTATAGGGTCTTCCCACAGAGCTCCATCCACCATCTACCATCCGTTGAACGGATGGTCCGTAAGGTTTTGCCGTTCCGAAAATTTCCCAGTTAGTCCGCCATCCAATTTTTACGGACTTTGACGGGCTCTTTTATGCGATAGTTAGGCGATGTTTTGTCGGTGCAACTCTGAATTCTTCCCCTTGACTGTGAAAATTGGAACGATGACTGCGAGAACAAATCAAATCGATGGCGGGAAAAAATTAAATAATACTTCAGCTCATTGTTTTTTGGGTTTTTTTTAATTAATTGTAGTTTGTTATGAGCGCAAAAGCGTTCGCAAGCTGGTTGCTTTGTGTGGGACAAAATGTAAGCTGTTGTGCGTACGAAAACATCAATGCTGGCAGCAAAGTGTCAAAATTTGTTCAGCACTTCGTAAATATAACTAATATTAATTAAAAGTGTCCTTTGTACTTTTATAAAGTTCCAAAGTTGCTATAAATACCAAAAACAGCACAAATTTGGGTTTGTTTACAAATTTTTCATATTAATATTGGCTAGGCAGTTAGTAAGAGCGGAGTGTGGGGTACGGGAGGTTAGGCTCCCCCCAGTCAGCAATATGTAAGCATACTCGTTATAAACGTTCACAGATTTTTTAAACTAATTTCTTATTCTATTTATTGTATTATTCTACAATAAAATTAAAAGAACGCAATTTTACGACAGTTTTGCCGAGTTGAAATCCCCCTTCGTTAATGTTGAGCTGAGCAACTGCTCTTCAGTCAGCTGTTATTGGATGATGGATGTAGGATTAGCTCTGTGGGAACACGAGCTTCACATATGTCAAAAATCCCAACCGTTTCACACGGGACTCTATGAGAGAAGGCTATTAATTGTTATGTTAATAATAGTAATAATATTTAGACTATCGATACATAATAAAATGTTGCAGAGTTGCCATAACCTTTAGTAAAATAAAGTGACAACATTTAACAAAATTTTCAAAAGTTGATGTTGTAATGAACAGCTGACCAAAATTCAGCAATTTTACAGTTTAGGGATTACTATGATTCTACACAACATCTACTAAGACCAATTTATAATTTTTGTATCATATTACTTGTCGTCTAGACGCATCCTAAACTGGACTCCAGTGTGAACGGGCGTTAAATTTCATGGCAACTATCGATAGTTTCTAATTGCGGCTCTGCAGCCACTATCGATAGTGGGCCGATAGCTGGAAACTCACATCGCCATCACCCAACCAACTTTTTTTCTCTTTCTTTCCGGTTGTCAAAAGGTACAGAAGTGAAAAAAATAACTCGTCGAAATGCAAGGCATCCTAATTAATACTAACCCTTTACCTTTAATTCCCAGTGCAGTGCATCCCGAACCGCTAAACAATGGCCGACGTTGATGTGTAAGTGCCTGTTCCATGAGACGAAAAACGCAATTTATGCCTTGCTTGGCGAACCGCTTGTTGATGAAATTAATTGGTCCGTGTTTATGAATTTCCATTGATTATAAATTCTCCAATTACTGAACAAGCAAGGCTGAAGAGAGTTTTTCGAGGCGAGATGTTATTTGAGCGATGATAAAATGCTAATTTACCCTGTTCTCCCCGCCGCAGTGATGTTCCCTCCGCAGCCCCCGTCCTCGATGGCGCCATGGACATTAACACCGCCCTGCAGGAGGTCCTGAAGAAGTCCCTGATCGCCGATGGACTCGTCCATGGCATCCACCAGGCCTGCAAGGCCCTGGACAAGTGAGTAGTCTAAAAATCTTGCAATCAAGATGGTCATACACTTCTTAGGTTTTTTAATTGATGAAGAAGTCTAGAAATGCTAGTTTTGTATTATAAATAAATCCAGTTTGGTTTTAGGGGGCTAAAAACTAACAAGTATATCATATATATAATTTGTGAATCTTTGAGGCCAAATGTTTTGAAAACCACGTTTTGAAAATTGCCGGTTTGAGTTCTACATAACCTATTTTCATGAAATATAACTTGTGTATTTTCTGTTTATATGTATTCTTTTCTGATCATAAATTTATAGGGCAGAATTAATTTATTATTATTATTTATCACATAATTTTCATCCTAAAAAGAGCAAAGAAATATTTGTGTGGCTTAAAAATTAGCTTATAAATGCCATATCTCTAAAACAAGATAGTAAGATAAATAGAATAATAATTGTAGATTTAGTCTCGAGAAGTTTTACCATCTTATGTAGCTTGCATTTGCTGATGTTTTGTGCCTATGATGAAATTAATTGGTCCGTGTTTATGAATTTATATTGATTAAAAACCTTCCAATTACTGAGCAAATGTCAGCAGAGCAAGCTGCATTTAATTATCAACTATTAAGAGAACAATAATCCTAACTGCTTCCACTTTCTTCACCCCCACAGGCGTCAGGCTGTCCTCTGCATCCTGGCCGAGTCCTTCGACGAGCCCAACTACAAGAAGCTGGTCACCGCCCTGTGCAACGAGCACCAGATCCCCCTGATCCGCGTGGACTCGCACAAGAAGCTGGGCGAGTGGTCCGGCCTGTGCAAGATCGACAAGGAGGGCAAGCCCCGCAAGGTGTGCGGCTGCTCCGTGGTCGTGATCAAGGATTTCGGTGAGGAGACACCCGCTTTGGACGTGGTTAAGGACCATCTCAGGCAGAACAGCTAAACTAAACGGCTGTCCCCTGTCTGCTGAATGAGAGACTACGTGAAAGTTTTTTTTAAGCTATTCCGCTAATTGAAAATAAAACGTAATGCACCTGAATCCAGATGAAAATAAAAGAAAGTTGACCTTTTTACATTTTTGGAATGTTCAATTCTAATCAAGCGAATTTTGTAATTACAATTGGGTTATTAAGATAAGTCCTTAAGGCAGACGATCTTGTGCTGCGGCCAATCCTTCAGCTGGCAGTCACTAAAAAATACAGAAAGGTATTAATTATTTTTGAAATTAGCTTATAAGGTTGTAGAATCGAACCCACCGAGAGCAGTAGTGCACTTGCTTGCAGCCGGCGCACTTCTTTTTGGCCTTCTCCTGGCAGGTGGCACAGCTATGCTGCTCTCCTCCTCCATCGCCACCCGCTCCGGCATCCTTTGGCTCATCCACCTTGAGATCCTCCATGTTCTGCTCCAGTTCGCAGAGCAGATCCGTGCCATAGGCTTTGCTCAGGCGACTGGCCATAGCACAGATATCATCCTTGTTCTTGCTCAGGAACACCGAGTCCTGATCCTGGGCTATCTGGTAGAAGCCGCCGCTTTCCTCCACATCCTTTATCAGCTCCTCCTGGATCTGCGGAATGTCCTCCAGCAGGAGAGTCTGCGACTTGGCCGTATTGCCGCTGAGTGTCAAGCGGCTGAGGAACATCTTAAGTTCAATAAGCGGCGGCAGTTGGTCCATCAAAGTCTCGTGCATTAAGCCGAGAAGCTAAGTAATCATCGTAAGTTAGTGCTTTAAAATTGGTTGATTAACAACTAACCTTGTTTAACTGCTTGCAGCGTGCCTCGTTGAAGGCGTAGTTCTCCATGATCTCGGCGTTTAGAAGAAGCTGGCGGACACAAAACCAGGCCTGAGCCTCCGGCTTGCAAATCTTGGCCACGTCATCCACATTGGTCCACTTTTCGTCTATGAACTTCTGCATTCCCTTGTTAGTCTTCCGTTGCCAGGGACTAAGATGATAATAAGAAAATTAAATACATATTCCGGGAACCTTCAAGATCCTTACTAGAGCCCTGCGTGACTCATTCAATTTTTGTTTAATCATGGTAAATTTCTGAAATTTCAGATTTTTCTAATTCATTTCGAATTGAACTAAGAATGTATAATTTTTATACAATTTTTAAAATTTTCAATTTTTTTTTGTGCTTTTTTTTGAGAACAAAAAGTGCAAAATTTTTAACAAATCAATGTAAACTGCTTAGCAAATAAAATTCAGGCAGATTTCTTCTTCTAAAGAAATTGTCTTTTGAATTATTTTAAAATGAATGCCATTCATTCATTCAATTCGATTAAACACAAAATTCAAATTCATTCAATTCTATTAAACTGAAAATTCTAATTCGTTCATTCATATAAAACAAAATATTTAAAATAATTCATTGAACCCATTCATGCAGGGCTCTAACCTTACTTACCGAAAACACAAAACATCCGCCATGAGCCAAGGGATGTCATGGGTAACCAGCATACGGCGTGCGGCGCTCAGATGAAACAAACCCACATTATCAGCCAGATAATTCAGTACGGAGATGCAGCGCAGTCCGATCTTATAGATAAAGTCACGTTTCTGGCGTTCCAGCTCCGTGAGCACCGCCTCATCCACATCCAACTTGGACTCGTTCTCATGATAACCCATGCTAACCAGGCCAATCACCTGGGAAACCGCCTGGGCGCAGTAATCAATTAAATCCAGCACCGATTCCTGAAGCGTCTCACAGCCACTGGGATGGTAGAGGCACACGTCCAGGAGAGCCACCAAAGCAGCCTCGTGATAGAGCACCGTGTAGATGAGGAACGTGGCCTGCGGATTGGGATCGATCTCTAGGAGATGCGGCAGAACCCGGGTCTTCCAGAGGGTCACGCAATAGGCCTCGTGGATCAGCAGACGCAGCTTGTCGCGCGAGATGAGGAACTCCTTGACCTCCTCCCCGCGCTTCTCGGCCAGCTCCAAGGAGGCCTGCTGGCTCAGCTTAATGATCATCTCGTGCACTTCCAGCCACTTGGGGCTCCCCACTTCGCGCACCTCGAACGGACGAATGCTCTCCACGAAGAGGTACATCTCCTCCGGATACACAAAGTTCAGCATTTTTGCTCTGTGCAGATTTAAAATTTCTTTAGGAGTTTTCGAAATCAGTTTGTTTCAATGTTCGGCTTTTGTCAATGAGAAGTGAAGTTTGCGGCCGGAAGTCAAGTAAACAGTTTTGGTTGCCATGACAAGGTTGCTAGGATTATGGAATGTTATATGAGGGTATAATCATTTATAATACTGCAAACACTTTCAATAGCCGAAGATACAAATTAACGACGATTTTAGACGATTAAAATATTTCTTGCATGCAGCTTGTTCTTTAGGGGTTTCATGTCCAATACTTGTTGCCGTTTCCTAGTAGTATTATTTCTTAGTACAGCTAAGCTAGGAATACAAACTGTATATATCTATATTATCGATACAGTTTTTAAAATTTAAGTGACTATTATTAAAAACTAAATGGCGGGACTTTCGAATTATTTTAATGATACCGTACTATGTAAAGCGCCGCACAACTAATGTGGTTGAATTTTTAACTTGTGTCGAATGTGCCTTTTTTACATTTCGGTTTTGTGTAGTTACTATGTAAGTAACCATAATAATTATGATTATAATAATATAACCCATTGTTTTGTGTTTCGAAATTAAAGTAATTATTTAAAAATGTATTTAAATAAAAGGAGAAAATATTTTCAAACGAAGAAATTATTTTTTTGTCGAATAAGAAAAAGCGATAAATTTACATGTATTAATTTAATTATTTTTAAAATTATTTAGAATATTTATCAACACGAGTGGCATAGACCTTGACGTCTGTTCTCCATTTCTTCATCATGGACGTTCGCATTTGGAACATATAAACACCGTTCGGGATGGGAATCTCTTTAATTGTGTTTTCATCGACGGGAAAACCATTGAAAATGATGTTTGGCTGTGGCTGTGGGTTTGACTATTGAGTAAGGGATAATCTTTCTAAAACCGCATCGACTCTCACCTGCAGGGGACAGGTGAATGTTTAAGTTTGAAATTTTCATTAAAGGTGTCATTAAAAATCCGAAAAATCCACTGGCCAAATATTGTCGACTAAAAAGGCAGTAGTCCAAAGTGTCATTTAGAAACTGAAAGCGACGGTTTTTGGCTATTTTGAATACTCCCAGGTTTAGCTAGAAAACAATTTTCTAAATCTTTTTAAAAAAGAGTTCACTTGTGCAACTTACAAGGATATCGTCAATGGGATCTTTATATAGAATCACCTCATTAACATAAAGAGCAGCTCGACCATTTTCCCTGTGAACAACTTTACAGGTCTTAAAGTACGTAAACGAAGGATCCAAGGTGCGGCACTCCATTTTGCTGACTCTGAAAACTTTCCCCTCGCTCCAATCCAATGCGATTAAAATGGGGAGTACAAAATTCAATAGCCGATCTTTCATGTTGTCTCATCGATAGAAATAACTGAACTATTCGAATGTCTGGCTCGGGTTTTTAACGGCTCTATTTAACGGCTGGTTTGCTCTGATTGATTAAAATAGATTTTGACGATTTTACTTAATTTTAAACTGTTTTCGGTACTTATGTTAATAATTACTAAATTAATCACGCTGCCCGTAGACGTTGACCTGTAATCGCCAGACTCCAAAAGCACTCACAGATACAACTAGTTTGTATTCGCCTTCGGGTAGGAAGGAAAGAAGGTCTCTCACAGTCTGCTCATTGAAATGTCATTTTCCTCACATAAATATCCTTCTCCTATGGGTCGAAAAATGTGATTATTAACCAAATAATAATAGCGGTATACATACGGCATATGGACACGTGTGATTGGCATTGGTGGCAGCCATTAAAGAGTCGTGAAACATATAGAAAATCGGATATTGCTTTGGTCTTCGCATATAGTAGCAAAAGTCAATGGTGTGATTGACCAGAAACAACCTGTATACATTCGACTTTCGGAATATGCTCAGGTTGAAACTGGATCTTATTAATGGGCTTGTCGTATTTAATCCCCAGGTGGAAATTCATACCCACTACATTTCGGCTCACCATCTTCAGGAAACACTCCTTGACCTCCACGAACTGTGGATCCAGACTGTTGCAATGAAAGTTGGTGAACCGAAAATGGGCTCCTTGTAGGCCAGGAAATAATACCACAGTCGAAATCAGGTTGAAAATGGCCAAAAACTTCATGTTGAGTGCTGCGCTTTTGCGCTTTTGGTGACAATTTGATCTCATTTCGGGTGGATTGCTCACTGCCATTATAACTAAATCAACCGGACTGAGTAATTTGTCGTAAATAAAGATATATATCTCTCAATCCACAGTGAATAGCAAAAGTTTCTCTTCAAAACATTAACTTTTATTTGTTAAAACTAAGGAGTAAAAACGTTAAATATATGAAAGCTTTTTAAAATGTATTATGTTCAACCAATTTAGTAATTAATAACTTAAATGGTTCAAATATATATAAATCACAATTTTAACAACTAACTTTTATGGATTCATAAAAACTTTTTGCCACTGAATACCTCTATATTCTTGTTTTTCTGCTTTTATAGTTTGACTGATTGAGTTGTTTGGTATTATATAGTACAGTTTTGTATTTACAATAGACATTTCAAAGTCCCCAATTATAAAACAATTTTCAAAGCTAGCCAACCCAAAAATAACAATTAATTACATGCTATTACTAGAAATGGTATATTTCGCTATACAATTGGTTTGCTTTGTGAATAAATAAATCTTAGCCGAACTCTGATTACAACGTAATAGAAATAGGAAAATCGGCACAAGGAACAACATAATTAAATGTAAATATTATGTGTTCAGAGTAGTTTGAAACACATTCAGTCGCTCTTTTTGGCAAAAATCTTTATAATCGCAAAATATTTCCTGTTAGTGGCTATTTTTAGTTGTATCATATAGTCACCATTGGAAACCGGAAGATCCTTCAAGTCGCTCTTCTTGTAGATAAACTCATTGACGATCATATCGTGCTGTTAATAAAATATGCTAAAACTTTAGTTCACCTTACAGAATATTGCATTTTATTTCAGTTTCGAAAACCTGTTTAATATTTTAGTTACTCACGTCATAGGGGCAGGAGTGATTTATGTTTGAGATAGACCAGAAGGTCCTGTGCATCATGTAAATTAATGGATGAGCCTTGGGATTGCGCATATAGTAACAATAATCCAGGGTCTGGTTGAATAGAAATGGCCGATATCCGTTCGATTTTTTGTGTAGCGACAAATTGATATCGAAGTTGTTGATTGGCACCTTATAGAACTTCCAGATCATATAGAAGGCGGACACCCCACGCCGAATGACCTTCATTTCGCAGCGGCTGAATTCCGAGAACGACTTGTCGAAGGACTCGCAAACGACGTTCTGCAACTGAAAGGCTCCATTTACGAGTGTTGACCAGAGTAAAGTACAAAATATTCCAATAACCAGACCTTTCGCCATGCTGTGCTATTTTTGTTTGACTTCTCGATTGATTCTGATGTTGACAATTATATGTGGCTGTAATGTGTATACATTTCAATGCCAATTAAAAAACAATTGCAAAAACGGCAAAAACCGATTAATGAAATTGAGATTCGCGATAAATTGCTTTAAAGATTTTTTTTAATTATTCAGTATTATGTACATGTTTACTGTTTTAGAAACCAGTAGAAGACACATTTCTGGATTTTACAAATAATATAAATTTTTAGGATAAAAAATGTGTGAAAAATATTAATTTAACTGTTTTTAATCAACTCTTTTTGCGTAAATCTTAGCAGATGCGCGATACGTTTTATCCGATGCCACTTTCACTTTTATCATATAATCTCCATTGGGTATGGGTAGATCTTTTAAATCGTTCTTCTTGTAGGTAAAATCATTTATTATCAAATCGTGCTGTTGGGAAAGTTTTAAAATAATGGTACTAGTTTGCCATGTCAACATTTTAATACTTACATCATAGGGACAGGAGTGATTTATGTTGGATGCTGATAAAAATACCTTGTGCATCATATAAATTAATGGATGCGCCCTGGGATTCCGCATGTAGTAACAAAAATCCAGGGTCTGATTGAAGAGAAATGGCCGATATCCGTTTGATTTCTTGTACAGTGAGACATTAATATCCACATTGTTGACGGGCACTTTGTAAAGTTTCCAAACCATGTAGAAGGCCGCCATGCCGCGTCGAATAATTTTCATCTCGCAGCGCTCGAAACTCGAATAGGAGGCGTCGAAGGACTCGCAAACCACATTTTGTAACTGAAAATCTCCATTAACTAATACTGACGCTAGTAAAGTCAAAAACATTCCAATAACGAGACCTCTCTCCATGCCCTGCTCTTTCCAATTGATCTATTAACATTTCTGCGAACAAGCATATAATTATTTTCAAAGTTACTCACATGGAAAAAATGCCTAAATAATTAAAAATCTATCTTCTCGATTTGCCGCTAAAAATATGTATATTATGATAATGGATATAATAACCAAAAGGTTTAAATGCATATATTGGCTAATAAAGATTTTCGGTTAGCGGTTATAACCGACTTCTCTCTTACTTGAATGAACTGGTATGAATGAACTTTGGTAAAAGAAAAAGTTTCACACTTAGCCTTGAAATAATTTACAAATATTTACCGACTGCTAAGAACCTTTGGTTTTCGCTGGTATATTTTGTAGTTTCTTAGTTGCAACAATTTCCTCGGTCCACCGCACATGACAACTCCGCAGGACATGACCGGAAAAACTTTAGCAATAAAATGCACGTAGAATGCCACAACAAAATGGGGAAGCTGCAAAACAATGTGCATTAGGTTGATATGTACCACACATGAGTCACGTGGCCCCAGGTTTTGGGTCAACTTCAGGGACCACAGCCAAAGTTGCTAAACTGCTACAATTTTGCTGTTTGATGTTTTTCCCACAGGTTTTCATTGCTCGTTGATTTGTTTCGTTGTCTTGTTGCACTCACCAACCAACTGACCTTGTTAGCCGCCAGGTTAATCAGGAAAACTTTTAATTAGACAAATTATAACTTTGCCCCGGGCATCGGTAAACTTTGAACGGCGGCAAGTTTATTATTCATAACGGAAGTGGTAGCAAGGGTCGCGTCGCGATTACCTTCGCCTTAACTGCCTTAACCTTAGTTATTTATTTTAATAAAGCCACAAGCGGCAGTACAAACTTCGGCCATTTTCCGGCGCTCCGGAGCAACTGCAGCTGCCTCATTATTAATCATTATTGCCTGTGGCCCGGCAATTTGTCCTGATGATTACGGCCACCCCATTCCCAGGACCATCCCATCTCCGATTCTCCGGAAGAAAAGTTGCCACTTAACTGCTCTTTTGGCCTTTGGTCGGCCAAGTGATGCATTCGATTCGAATGGGTAACGATTTTGGAAATGACTCAAAGTCACTGGGATAAAAGTTTTAAAAAAGGGTGTTAAATAAGGAGGATTTAAGAAAGATATTTTGGTTTATATAAATATTTTGTGGACTAAATTTATATTATTTTTCAAACCATATTTTATGAAAATGATTAGAAATACTTATCTAATCAAAAAATGTTAAGTACACAGCTTTAAATTATTAGTTAAATCTTTTCCTCTTTAACATACTTAAATGACAAATTTTAAGATTTTGGAAAATATAAAAATAAAATCTTCAAATAATAGTTATGAGATTACAAACTTAATAAAGTATTAAAAAATATTCAAATTGATTTTATGGTGGTGTATATTATACACTCCATAAAAAATTTTTTTTTTTTTTAAGTGGTTTAAAAGTGATTTGATTTTAACTTTTCATATTTATAATTTTGTATAACTGGTGTTCTAATTTTTTAACTAAAATATATTATTTTTTATTTTAAAAATTATAACCGTAATAGATATATATTTTTTCCTGTGCATCGGTCCTGCGGCAGAGATTTGTTGCTTTGACAATTTGCCTGCTGATTGCTTGGGCAATTGTTCTACAAGTTCGATGCTCGATGCCGGCAAATTGACTTGTGTAGGCTTAAGGGATTACAACTGGGTCGGGACATGTATCGAATGAAAAATGCCCGCGTCAATGGATTCGAATTTCGAAACTGTTACTCATTCGGCCATCCTTTTCGCACAGATACATGTGGGCAATGCGGCGTATGCGCGATGTGCCATAAATTATGTGCCAACTATTTTTGTTGCTGGCCAGGGCCAAATGTGCCAATAAATAACTCGATATGCCTGTCAAAAATGGGGCACAAAGCAGGATGGCCGGGACCCAACTTCAACCGGAAACGGATATACAATTTCAGTAATTTTCGTGAGTGACCAAGTCGAACTCACAACCGGATGGCGTTGCCAAAAAAGAGGAAATTGCCAAAAAAAAAGAAAAAGAGGAAAGGAGGAAAAACCAGGCCAACCTCTGCCATTCAAAAGCTTAGGCAGTTGATCAGCATGGCCAAGTTTTGCCCTCACTTTTTGTATTTGTTTTTATTGGCGTGAAAAATGTAATAATGCCCTTGAGTTTGAGTGTGTGTTTGTGTTTTGGGCATGCCAACAAAATGTGTGCTCTACTTTATGAGTATCATGTGTGGCGTATGCCTTTCTTGTTCTCTGTTCCACCATTTCTTTAGAGGCCCGAGGCTGTTTTCTATCTGAGCCACTGAGTTGGGCGGGACTTGATGAAGTTATGTGCTGCTCACACGAGTCTGTGTGCTCACTACTTTATGGGACTTTTTCCTTCTTGTTTTTGCTGGAACGACACGACGGCTTATCAAAGGGAATGTTTTGCAGAAAGTGCTGCATACTTTCGGGGGAGCCGATTTTATACTTTTAAGCCGATCAGAGATTCAAGCTTAAACGTAAAATTAAGGTGTAGAAAAACATTACTCGAAAAATATTTTATATTCTAAAAAACGCTTCTTGAAAAGTTTATTATTTTAAATCAAATACTTCTATTGATTTGATGTTTCAGAAGGTTGTAAGAAATGCCCAATAAAAATATTCCTAATATATTCTTTAGTAAACTATGCTTAAATAATATTTAAGGACAAAGAAAAATACTAGCATAACTTTAGTGATTTGACATAATTTCAACCTAATGTTTTTGCAGGGCATAAAAGTGTTGAGTGGTTATTTTTCCACCGGAGTTTGTCTTTGGCAGGCCCATATTTTCCCATTTTTTTCCGATTTCCTTTGAGTGTGTGCTGCTGGCCGTGTGAAAATGCGCCTAAGGTCATGGTCAAGAGTCCGAGCAGGAACTGTAGGGGCAATTTCGTTTATTTGAAAGCACTCGCCAGTCGCCCTTTGCCCACAACACTGTCCATTTAGTTTCGCCTTAGTTGCGGCTGCTGCCATCAATCCATTTGGAATGGGACAGTTCCATATTGCTGTTGGCACAACATTTGCCTTGAAAAAGTTTTTATTCTTTCTCACTGTTGGGCGTTTTTGGCAATGGTTTCGGTTTCGGTTTGGTTCGATTTGTTTTGATATTTTGATTTTATTTCTTGCCTCGCCATTTTTCAATTATTTTCCATTTCTGGAAAAAAGTCACTAGACAATTTTGTTGTTGATGCGTTTGTGTCTCTGGATTTTTTTCATTTTTGCTAAAAGTTTCGTAACCATTTGCATTTTGGACTGTGGGGGTCAATACATCGAGGGGACGTGCAGCGAGTTATAAAATCGAATTTGTTGTAGTCGAGTGGAGCTGTGTTGTAGGGCTGAGTGCAATTTTTGATTTGGCAAATATGTTTTGGGGGTTTTTTTCCCCTCTGTTGTGGGGCTTCCGCTGATTGAATTGCCATGTTCTAGTCCTGACGCTGCAGGAGATGAATATTGATAAAAGTGTAGCCAAACGAAGCCCCTGTCCTCTGCTCGTGATCTCTATGAAGGGTGAGGAATTTGTATATTTTTTACCCCCTCTTAACTTTGTTAATTTGTTTGGGTCTCCATTGTTGTTCTCTGGGCCACTTAAACGTGTTCCTGGGCCACACAAATACGTGCGGTTCGTTGTCCTGGCAGCCTAACATGTGGTCCTTTATTGTTTTTTTCGCTCTCTGAACAATTATTTTTTTTTGGGCTTTTATTTCCATATTTTCCGTGAAGAGTCCTTGAGTATATATGCTCGTCTGAGCACGTTAATTGAGGCATTTTTGATGGTGATTAGAGGGGGCCATAAAAAATCAACCAGATTCCCATTTAGATATGGCTAATAAAATGCAATAAACGTTAATTTACTGTCGAGAGGAATTGAACTCGGTAATCTTTCGGTGGATTTTGAAGTGCGTTTCGAGGGGCAATGGCAAATATGAAAGCGGCACTCGAAAATCTTCCATTGACAACAAGTGTCTCGACATGTTTTTCTGAAGCGGCGATACATATATATGTATCCAGAGGAATAGAAGTAGGAGGTTGTGAAGCAGCTGAGGCAAGTGTTGCCAATATATAGAGATATATATTTGACAAGCATATGAAACACTTGACAACGGGCAAACAAACATGACAGACATTCTGGGGGAGTGGGAAGGAGCCATAATATATAGGTAGAGGATATGGCATGAGGCTGTGCCAGACGGATTAAATGGGTGGAGGAGAGATGACGAACGAAGATGGCAGCATTAGAAATTGACTCTCAATATATTGAATTGAATTGTTCATCATTGCTTGGAGTATGTGGCTGGGAAATTGGCTTACTCAGGCTAAACAATTGAGCTGTTTCTGCCTCTGCTGCACCGACTAAATGAATCTTGAATGCACAAATAGCTTTAAGAGCTTTAGCTTGATTTAATCTCATACAAGTCAGCTTGTGCTTTAGTCCAAAATGTTTTAATAAGATATTAAGTATTAAGATTCGGAGAACTTATAGCTTAGTTGCTCTTTAATTAAATCTTTTTAAAATATGCTTGGTAAATAAATCTTAAAATCCTATTAAAAATTAAAATAAAAAATTTATCCGGGCTCAACCGGGATTTGAACCCGGGACCTCTCGCACCCAAAGCGAGAATCATACCCCTAGACCATTGAGCCGCCATAAAATGCTCAAAATATCTTTTAGTCTTAAGCTGGCGAAGACGTCTTTAGGTTTGGTGAAGAGATGCCAAGTCGATATGCATAACTATTCAACTTTTTAACGACCTTCAAAACTGGTTGGTTTTGTGTTATTCGTTGAGGTGTGCATCTGCATTAAAAATATTTATGTTGGTTAAGATAAAAGTCAAATTTAAGTAGCTAGAAAAATTTTATAAAAATAAATGACCTATATATTCCCATAAAATTATATTTTGCATTTAAGAGGGGGAAATTAAAGTCTAGTTTTAATTTTTCTTATATAAAAATTTGTGGCTATAAA